GTTCAGCACATTGTGCTCTGTCCTGCAGGGTCAGGCCATTGTTGTTTTCCTTGCTCTGTTTTTCTCGGTATGTATTTTAAACCCCATTTCTTAGTGTATTGTTAGTTACACGTTTCTCAATTAGTACTCTTTTTAGTTAATTCTAGCAAAAGGTCCCTCTTCTTGCTAGAGGTCAGAATGAGAAATTAAGAGAACAAGGCTTAAAGGAGGGCAGAGGGTATCAGCTTGAATACTGGCAGTAGGACAAGTCCCTGCCTGCGGGTGGTGGTGTGCCAGGGGCTGTAAAACTTTCTTGCACCTCAGCGGGTTTTCTCAGCTGCCTTTTCTAGCTGTTGCACACTTGCACATTAGCTCTCCGTCATTGTCTCCAGTCTGCACCCTTTACCTGGCTACCTCTGGGTCGCTTTGGCATCGGAAGCTGCTTTTTTCTGGACAACCAAAGTTGTCCTTTGGCTTTGCATTTGTCCACTTGATCTCCTTGACTTGCTGATCGAGTGTGTGGCTCTGTCCTCTCATGGCAAGTTACCTAACAGAGCAAAGAGGACTTCACTGCTGAGGTTCCCCAAGCCTCTACATAGTTGGTTGGGTTTAACTGAAGCAATAGAGCTAGAGGCATTTACTGTACCTGATAATTTTGCGGTCCTAACTGTAAAAGTTTTGCTGTTGTTGTTGCCTTTCTCAACATGACGCTGTCAGGTTGCACATGTATTGGCGGCGTTGCTGTGTTTGCCAGCCTGTTCTCAAACTCGGCGTTTAGAGCGATGGATGTTTTCTCAGCACTTGGGTCCCCGCCTCCCCAGCGCTGGGGGTGTGTTTTGTACTGAGCAGCCTGCCAGAGAGCGGCAGAGCCTCCTGTTTCTAGCTGGGATCTTGTAGATCTCTACAGGGGAGGCTTCCGCATGGAGCTGATCACAAGAGACTGCGACATCCTTGATCCAAAATCCCTCCCCGTGTGGATGGCTGTGCTTTGCTCAAGGCAAACAGAGTGGAGTTGGTTGTACCAGAATGACTTTACTGTCCCTTGGTGTCTGCTCCATCTGGGGCTGTGGGTTACTGTCTGCAAAGAGCAACGAGGTCCTGGTCCTGGTACCTCAGCTGCTGCAGTTTGTGTCCGTATGATACAACCTTTAATTGTGAGTCATGCCAGCACGCCAGGCTGATAGCTGGGATGGTTGCAGTGGGGGTACGTGCCCTGCATCCCTGGCTATGCTATAGAGTGGTAACGTCCAGCAAAAAACATCTTGCAGAGAGCAGCAATTTCTAAATTGTTCCAGCTACATCTGCCAGAGCACATCTGCAAGCTCTCAAGGTTCAGCTCCTGCATTTCATCAGTGATAAAAGATGGGTTGTGAGGGGGAATGGTGGAGGGAAGAAGCCTGCAGGGTCACTTCCAAACTTGTTGTCTGCTTTTTTCTCTAAAAATTCTTTGGGAGCAGGAGACTTCTTCATCACTTAATTTAAAATTGTTTTTATTTAAGGTTGTCCAGAAGGAGAAGTGGCGTCAAGCCAGTGTCTTCCAAGCCAAGTTCCCAAAAGCGCGACAGCAAAGAGCAACCCCGGAACCTTGGCTGTCAGGGGGAAGAGGTGTCCGTGCCTGACTGTGCGATGAGGTCTCAGGCCAGTGTTAGAACCGAGCTCCCCGCACTGGCTGGGAAAGGGCCAGCAGAGGGTCCCGTGGCGCAGGTGGATTGTCAGGACTGCCCGCAGGGTCCCGGTAGCAGTGACACCGCCTGTAAGGCTGTTACGGGGGAGCGATTGCCCAAGGGGGACGCAGCCACTGAGCTGCATGACATGTCTTCTGTCACCGCCGTCCCTGGTGGCCAGACAGCAAGCGAGGGGGAGGAGGCGGCCCCCAAAAGAAGAACAAGTACCTCCACTCCCAAGGCTGCTAGAAATGGAGATCCTGCTGTGCTCCAAGGAGATCAGCCTCCTCAAGGCCTCAAAAAGGTGCTTTGCCAGGACTCTGACTGCAAAATGACTACAGTGAGTTCCAAAATGCGCTGTTGCTCTGGACGCCGGAGCCTTGTGGGAGGCTCCAACAAAAACCATAGGACCTCCTTGGCAGAAAAATATTCGCTGGCCCGCAAAAGGGAGAGCATGATCCGGAGGTCTATCAGCAGGGCCATTTCGAAGAAGGCAGCATCTCGAGAATCATCCTCTGCCTCCAGCAGAGTGAGCTGTAAGTTTCTTTCAGTTTTCAGGTGCATTTATTTGGCTGAATCAGCTTCTCAGCTTTGGTGTGGGGACTGAGCTGCTCATCCGTTGTTAGCTCTGGCTCATCTTAGTCTCCTTGTCGATAGGCCTTGTGGCCTCCACCCGTTTGGGGTGCAATCTTCAGGTCCTCATCTGCTGTCGGAGCAAGTCTCAGGCCATGTTTTGCTGCAGCAGGTGAAGGAAGCCTCTGCTGGGGCATAGGCACAGGGGTTGGAGGTTGGGTTATGTGGGTTGCGGATGGGCAAAGAAAACAAGAGCCAAAGGGAGAATGCGGTCTGGCTGGTTCTGGGCACGTGGGCAGTTTGGCCGATCAGAAGAGACTATTGCATTCCCTGGGGACGTGCTTTAATTTGCCTGTCTTCTGCCAACTCCCCAAAAAATCTATAGGAGCTGATGGTCTCCACCCCTGAAATTTGGCTGGAATTGGCAGAGGAACTTAAATGCGTTTCGGGTGAAGGCAGAAGAGCGGATGGACTGCAAACCAAATAGCACAGTCATCGGAGGAAACAAGATTCAGAAATCCAGGCTATTCCTGGTAGCGCTAAACTCCTCATATCCTCTGCTCCCACTACTGGGATGGTTTTGCTATTTGGACTTTCTAAAATCATTGCTTCTGAAGTCAGATTGGCTTCTAATAAAGCACCAAGGCCTTTGGTATTTAGTTTTGTCAGCTTTGAGTCACACTGTATCTAGGCATTTGTTATAACACTTTCAGCTAAGTGGTGTTATGAGGGGAATGAAATCAGCCTAAATCCACCAAATCTCTGCTTAAAACCGTGTAGGGAGGCAGGAGTGAAGTCAATTGACTGGGAAATGCTGTCTCTGACACAGGCAGAAGCGTGTTTGTGCAGCTGGAGCAGGCTGCAGGCAGAGGAGCTGCTGCTTCAGATCTCTGCCTTCCCAGCCTACACCAGTTTGTCAGTGACACTTGAGGGAGGTGGTAGTGCTGGTGTGGAAAGCTGAGATGAGCAATCGGCGTGTTCCCTGGGAGGAAAGCCTGCACAGAGACCTGAGCTCTACCACACGCATTCC